GTTTACAGCCGGCAGGGACTTCTAAGCATTGCTGTAATATAACTGTACACATTTACACAAAGCAGGGACATTGTGTTGTGCTTCGTGGCTCATTGAAGCCAGTAGAAGTGATCTGCAGCTCTGTGGCGCGTTTGCACAATTCAAAGTGAAGCAACACTGAGAGGAAACTGGGGAAATGCAAATATTTATAACTTGTTGTAGGCACCAAGGTAACATAAAGCCATTTATGTATTTAAATAAACTCGGTCACCTGGTAATTTTAATGTCTCTGTGATATAGATGTGTTAAAGTAGATTTTAATTTGCATAATGCTTTATCATCAGCTGGTCCAAGCGTGCAGTAATGGTGCAGGTAGTTCTGTTCCTGGAATACTCTTTGCATATCTAGATAACTCCCTCTGTAGCCTGTAACCGTTTTTTTTTTTCATTATTGTATTTAAGATAAGATGATATGCAGCTGGTGGAGTAAGTTAGATCTTTATTCAGGGAATACAAAAAAGTTTAAATAAAATGTGTACTTTTTCTATTCAAACCTTTCTGCATCATTTATTAACTGATAATGTAACGTTAAAGATCTGTTGATGGTTAATTTGGTTGCTTTTTTCCATAATGCAAAGAAAGAAAATGTCACTTTAGTGGAAGATGACTAGGAAGTAGAGGTGGTGGCTGATTCAAAGCGACATACCTTCTTATGAACAATGATGAAAAATGTTTGTCTTAACAATAAAGCCTTGATGCCAAAAAATTCCTTTAGCAGCAGATCGTTTGCTTCTCATCTTTTTCTGTATTTTTTTATGCTGTTTATGGAAAATATATTTAGTTGCTTTGACTTTTTATGATGTAACTTTATTATAGTTTTATGACTTAAATAATCATCTCCTTTATTAACAGTAGAGAACAAAAAACATTTTTTTTTTATTCATATTACACTTTGTGAATTTATTTTATTGCATTTACTCTGTATTTCTGAACAAAACAATTTTCTTGTTCCAAATTCTTATATTTTGTTTGATTACATGGAAATAAAAATGAAAAACAACCTCCATCCTGTTCCAAGCTATTGTTTCTGAGTGCCACATGTGCTGCAGGTATATATATACAATTTATGCATGCATAGTGTCTGTGCACACCTAGATAAATATTTCCTGTATAGCACTTCTGGATAGATGCAAACTACATTATAAAAATTAGAAATGAAAATGAATAAAAATCTGTTTTTATTACGTATGAAGTTTAGGTGAATGCCGATTCCTCCAGTTCTTGGTCAGTATTGGTAGCCATCCTATGACTCATTATGAAGAAGGAGCCTTCAGACAATAAAGCACCTTAACAGGACTTTGCTGAAACAAAACGTCCATCTAGCTCCAGATGACCGAATAAGAAAATGCGGAAACAAATGATATGCTAAATCACTAGTTCTCCGTTTGTGGTTTCAGATAAAAACACACCACAATATTCAAATAGAACATATATCTTGCAAATGCAAAACTACAACTGCAAAGACAATGTGCTACTTCACAACTTTGTCTTTAGCCTCAAACGTAAAATTAGAGCTTTAATTCTGCAATTTGGACCATAAGATCAGAAGCACACCTGTCAGAAATTTTTAAAGTGCTTATAATGGATCTATAGATACTGACACCAGTAAATTGGCAGTTAAAGCTACGGATATCATTCAGCTTAGACTGGACTCATCTTTATCGATCAATGTTAAAAGAAAAAAAGCCTTTCCTCTAGTAGTTTTATTTTTCATAAAGTCTGATCATCTTCAGACCATTTTCCAACTTCTTAATTACAGCGAAGATATCACAATTATTTGACACAGAAGCAGGTATATATTTATATATATATATACAAATACTGAACAGTAAAAACTCTTTCATTTTAAAACTAAATGTAAAAAAACAAGAAATTATTTACCAGATGTACAAAGAGGGAAAAAGAGCTTCAGTTTATTTCATGCAGCACATTGCTGCAAAGATTCCTGAACAAAGGAACTAACTGTTTCAGTGTCAACATAAATTACTCTAAGAAATGAATAAAAATGTTTTTTGTAAAGTTTAAATGAAAATAAAGCTGTTATATGTTACCCTTAACAGTTGCAACTGTTAAGGGAGGCCAAAGGGAAAAAAAAAAAAACGTAGTCATATCCAATTATTAATTCAGTTGCAAAACAGTGTGAACATAATTTGACTTAACAACTCAACTAACTGGGTGAAACACATTATACTGTATAGATAAAACGTTGGTGCTCTCCTAAGCCCCCCTCCGTTTATCTATGTCCTTTTTGGTTCATTTGCATGCTGTGTCCGTCCTAAAAGGGGATTTTTTTTACTGGTCCTTCAAAGTTTGATAAGGCCTATAAAAGAGGGAGCATCCACCGGACCGACACCAGAGGAGACCCACATCAGGTAGAACCACAATGAAGCCTTGCTTTGTCCTTATTTTGTTGGCTGCAGGTGAGTTTCTTTTCATTTTACAGCTACTTTCACAAATAGTTTTGGTAAAATGTTGCCTTCTGCTCTTCCATAGATGATTGTTGCCCATTGTAGACATGCTGCTTTGCCTGTTTAGGTCTGAATCAGCTGAATCTTCCTGTTTTAGGTGCAGCTTCCAGAATGATTGAGAAGAGGGTTATTGGGAGCAAGTCCTGTGACAAGGACAGGCAGTACCACGTCCAGATAGAGTCTGTTCAAGGTGGGAAGGTCTGCGGAGGCGCTCTGCTCAACACCCGCTGGGTCATCACAGCGTCTCACTGTGCAGAGCAGTAAGATATTACTCCTAATGGTTGCTTTTCCTCTTCTATGCTTTTTATTTTTTAATCATAGCTTTTGTTGTGCTTTTATCTAGTTGAATGAAATATATTTCCTTTTCAGAGAATTTGACATGATCTTTTTGTGTTCTATCATTACAACTTTGCAGGAATGTCAAAGTGAAGCTCGGCATAAACAACGATGTGTCATTTCTTACAAAAGCCGCTTCATGGTTCAAAGGAAACTCCAAAAAACATGAGCAAATCATTCCCATTAATCAGCAGCACACCTTCACAAATGAAGAGAGTAAACATGACATTATGCTCATACGGCTAAATGAGGACATGTCAGCCAAAACTCCCACCATCAGCCTTCCTTCAGGAGAGTGCACTAAGCTGGAGCCAAAAGCTAAAGTGGAGATTGGAGGCATGGGAGCAAGCAAAACAGGTGGGAATATGAAAAAAAATTTAAATTTGAAATTAAATTTGTCTACTTTTTTTTTTTTATAAATCAAATGTCTGGACATTTGAATCTTCAGGGGGTAAACCTGTCAAGGAAGTAAGATGCGCCACAACAGTGATCTCTGAGTGTGGTGAGAACGACAAACCTGACAGTAAATACGCCAGTGAAGAATCTACAGTCTGTGCCTTCAAACCTGGAGTGGAGTCCTGCCATGTAAGCAAACCATCCTGCTTCCTAACTAAACTCATTTTCTCTTTTTTTAAATCTCTCCTCATTCAAAACCTTTGTTGTATTTTATTTTTTTAGGGGGATGCAGGCTCAGCTGTGGAGTACGAAGGTCATTTACACGGAGTTGTCGTTAGCGAGCCTACAGATAACTGTGTCAAAACCATTGTTATGCTGGATATCTGCCATTACATGGAGTGGATTGAGAAAACCATGAAGGAAAACTGAGTAAACTCAGCGTTTCATATTTATTAATCACAAGGAAATAATATATTAACTTATTTATGCATTTGAGTCATACTCTATATGTTGATTACATGCATATTTCTACAC